GCCCACCCAGGTTCACTCTGAACCTTGCGTGCAAGGTCCTGAAAATAAAAGTTTATGGGGGTGGGGATAGCTCAGTGGGTTGAGCCTTATCCTACTAAACCCAGGGTTGTGAGTTCAATCCTTGAGGGGGCCATTTAGAGATTTGGGGCAAAAATCTAACTGGGGATTGGTCCTGCTTTGAGCAGGGGGTTGGACTAGATGACCCTCCTGAGGTCCCTTCCAACCCTACATTCTATGATAACAGAAGAAAGGGACACAAGCTTAACTATTGTTAATCTGCATGGAGTGCCACTAGAGTACATGAAATCTCCATCATTTTCCTTCTTGCCTTCCTCTCTTCAGACAGACTTGTTCCTGCCTACATATTGTTAATTATTTGTAAATATTATCATCACCCAGAGCTATTCCCAAAAGAGAAAAAATAACACATATTTGTTATGGATCCAATCCTAGCCCAGAAAGTGCATGAAGAGGGATCATCTTTGTCTGCATATGTCTGGTAATGATGTCAGGAAAAGGTTTTACGCCCTCATTTTATCTTTTGTGTGTGTGTCTTTGCTGCGTCTCACACCCTGGTGCTGTTAGAAAAGCAATTAGGTTAATAGTGCCCTGGCTCCAACTGTCTGTCAAATGCTGAATTGCAATGCAAATTAATTCCAATTTATCACTCACCTTTAACTTTTCAAAGACAATTGAGTAACAGAAAGGTCTCCAGAAACCTCCATATGAATGGTGTCTGGGAAAAAGGATACAGTTTTTATTTGAATTTGATTTCACTTGCATTATCAAATGTATGTGTCCCTATTCTTGATGATGGATTTAATTCGTATGTTCAAATTACTTTTTCTTCCTCTTGTTAAAAAAAAAAAATCAAGTTGGGAAAGCAGATTAAAACTCACCTACAGATTACATGGTTGAGAATTTTTTGTCTGTTTGTTAGGCCAAACCCAGTTTATTTAAATCAAACAAATAGGCTCTTTAAAGTTCATGGGATAAATTTTATCTCATTCCCTGGAGTTACATCACAGCTGAGTTTCACATGATGGGACCACTCCCAAGAGTAAATTGAGCAGACAGGCTGACAACCCCCACTACCATTATCTGAATGACATTTGTCATTTCCCCTGTATTTCAACTTGTGTGTTCTTGTTTCCTGATTACCTGTCTTCCAGAAGAGGAGATACTTGGTTCACATCTACTTGCCAATGAACAAATACAGTAAAACCTGGGCATAGTTGATATTAACATATACTGTGGCTTTAATGGGCCTATTTGTGTGATTTAAATAAACTGGTTTGGCCTAACAAATCAGATTTCATACAGTAGCCATTCCAAAAAAAGAGAACACATACTTTTTTTATTCCTTCCATTTTAGACACGTGCCCACTTCCATAAGGACATATACATCTAGGTTTCAAGAAAAATAAAACAGAACTAATGATTGGAAGAGGTATAATATGGGGGGGGGGGGGTGAGACTCTGTTTTTAAGATAAATAGTGAAAAAATTAAGTTAAAAAACAGAATATTTGCAAATTTTAACAGGTTATGGATTTAAATTTTTTCTTTGTGACATTTAATTAAGCTATACAGGGATAATTAAATAGTCATTTTGTTCCAAACAGTACAATAATTTTCACCTGCAGAGCTCAAGGTACTTTACAAAGGAGGACAAGTATTTGTATCCCCATTTCACAGATGGGGAAACTGAGGTGCAGAAAAGTTGAGCTTCCTACTGAAGCTAGTGGCAAAGTGATTTGCCCTAGGTCACATAGTGAATCAGTAGCAGAGCTGGAAGAAGTACCCAAGTCACCTGAGTTCCAGTCTTGTGCTCTGTCCATTGGACCACACTGTCCTGGCATGGCATATTGCTAGTTACTAGTCTTGTCACTCTGATTTGTATATATAGTAATCTCGGGATTACTATCACCAAAATAACTAATATTGCAAACATAAGTCACACTAGAAAATGTGATGATTACAAAGGAAAGATTATATACCTGACTCACTGTGAACAAATTATTTGAATCCACCTCATTTATAATCGCTTGGGCAGCTTTTGACATAAAAGAAGAGTATAATGCACGTGGTAACAGGTGTGTCTAATCTAATCTGGTCTTTCAGTATCGCAGAAAAGAGGCAAAGTATCTCTTTTTCAGGTTATCATATGTTCCACAGTGAAAAGGTTTTGAGATTCTATACATTGCTATAATAAAAAGAGGAGACGGTTTAAAAAATAAGGTCACCTCTGAGGCTTGTGAAAGAGATATTAAAATAAAGACATTTAATTTATTTTCAATTTTTCAAGTCTCCAAAGTGACCATTAAAAAAAAAAAAGATTGCACTGTACTAGAGCGTGCCGCAAACTGAAAAGCTGACGCCCCGGCTGTCGCCCTGGCCCAGGCCATTAATCCTTTGTTACTTTAAGGTTAGATTACTGCAATGCACTCCCCAAGGGGCTGCATCTTTCAGAAATTGCAGAATGTGGTGGCCCAACTTGTTAAGCAAGCTTACATTTACACCTGGAATATAGTAGTAGTAGTAGTATTTATGTATTTATTTATATCCCGGTAGCACCTGGGAGATCTAGTCATGGAACCCGCTGGGCTCTGTACAAACACAGAACAAAAAGACAGTCTAACTGAGTTCAGGGTGAAATTTCTGATGTCTAACTTCCCATTACCTCCCCCATAAAGCCCTAAATCAGTCTTGATAAATTCTTCACCCACATGCCCTTAGCAAATAAAACATGGGCAAATAAAATATTTGTCTTTTATTATCACCAATCATATGGATACAGGATAGGTGAGTAGATTTTATTCCCAGGACGGTATGTTTTCCCTAAAATTTTGCAAGCCAGCCCTAAAGATCTGGCTTCTAACTACCATAGGCCTTGATCCTGCCAATAACACTAACAACTTTTATGCATTGAGTCCTGACGTGTGTATTTGCAGGATAGGGCCTACATTTGATCTTGCATTCCTTGTGCATCCAAAGCACCTGGAGAAGTCAATTCCAGGAATGCAGTGCATCTACAGTATGTACATTCTAGGACTTTTTAGAATAATAACTCTTGGGCTGTCTGTGTTTTATGGGTTTTGTCTTGTTTATTTCACTGCAATTACTTTGGAATTAGGTTTGTTTATAGCAGCTAGTGTTCAGAGCATGTGATTTTGGAAACTTGGTTCTGTCTCCAACTCTGTAACTGACTTACCGTATGACCTTAAGCAACTCACTTGTTGGTCTCGGTCTGGACTCAGACAACACTTATGCATATGAATAATCCCATTAAATCCAAAGGACTACTTACCTGTGTCAGTGTGTGCAGGATTGTGGTTCTCAGGATTAAAGCAGAGCACATACTACGTCACTTAACCGCTGTATCCCAGTTTACCCCTCTGCAAAACTGGCGTAATAATGCTGACTTCACAGGGGTGCTCAAAGGCTTAATTTAGTAAAAATGTAAGGTCCTTTGAAGCATGGTACCATATAGTGCAAAGTGTTGTTAAGATGTTTTATTAACATCGGTCTCATTTGCCTCGCCTGTAAGAAAGGGGTAATAACTAACATTTACCCACCTCTGATGACAAGTGCTGTGCAAGTGCAAAGTGTTTTACATTGTACCTGTCTTTGGCTATACAAATTAACTTTAACTGTTGGTTTCTTTCATAGATTTTTTTTAATATTTCAATTTAGTTATTTATTGTACACAACCATGGTCTTAGGCAGAGGTGGGCAAACTATGACCCGCGGGCTGGATGTCCTGCCCGGCCCTTGAGCTCCCGGCCAGGGAGGCTAGCCCCCAGCCCCTCCTCTGCTGTCCCTCCTCCCCCGCAGCCTCAGCTCGCCATGCGGCCAGCACTCTGGGTGGCAGGGCTGCGAGCTCCTGCCGGGCAGCGTAGCAGCATGGCTGGCTCCGGCTGGGTGGCGCAGCTGCCAGTCCTGCTGCTCAGAGTGGCATGGTAAGGGGGCGGGGAGTGGGGGGGTTGGATGGGTGTGGGAGTCCTGGGGGGCCTGTCAGGGGGCAGGGGTGTGTATAGGGGTTGGGGCAGTCAGGGGACAGGGAGCGGGAGGGGGGTTGGATAGGGGGTGGGATCCTGGGGGGGTGGTTAGGGACGGGGGTCCTGGGAGGGGGCAGTCAGGGGACAAGGAGCAGAGGGGGTTGGATGGGTTGGTGGTTCTGAGGGGGGCAGTCAGGGGGTGGGAAGTGGGAGGAGGCGGATAGGGGGCGGGGTCAGGCTATTTGGAGACGCACAGCCTTCCCTACCTGCCCTCCATACAGTTTCGGAACCCCGATGTGGCCCTCGGGCCAAAAAGTTTGCCCACCCCTGGTCTTAGGCCTCCATCCTGCAGTCAGATACAGGGCCTCTGGACAGTCACAGGGATCGACACTGAACAATCTGATTCCAGGGTTTAGCTCTGACTTTTTCTGGGTATTTTCCAACCCCCCTTTTATTACCCATCTGAAAAGCATCTTTTATGCAAGAACCTCTTGTATTCATTATACATTTTCTTTACGAAGGGCCCAACCCCCTGCTCCACCTGCACCCTACAAAAAACAAATCTGCCACTAACGTCAATGCAAAAGGAGCCACAAATAACAGTCATCATCTAGCATGCAGAAAAACAAAAATGTCAAGAATGAGACTGCAAACTCTTTTTGAATGCGAATGCAACCCCCCCAAAATTCTACCCAGCTACCCCTAACAGCAGCATCTCACTGAGAAAGAGTCCATCTCCATGAGCAATCACTTCCTTGGGGCACTGCATCTTGATCATTTTTTAAAAAAGAGAATGGATGTATGGGTTGAATGGGATGTGAATTCTATACACTTCCCCTGCCCGCTCCCCTCCTCTCGCTCTCTCCAGACTTCAGAAAAAAAAATAGCTTTTAGAAACCCGAGCTGTTGTTTGCGCAACACAATCACTTTTTTTTTTTTTAAAGCGACTGGGTGTCTAGACGCCCACGTGATTGGGGGCCGGGGCTGGGCCGCGATACTGCGCGTCACCGAGGCAAAGCAGCGAGGAGGAGGCTGTTGGCTGGCTAGAGGGAAGAGCTGGCGGATGGCAGCAGCAGCCGCCCAGACGCAGAGGCAGAGAGACCCTGGGCACTGCTAGGTAATAGCCACCTCCATTTGGAAACCCCCCCTCCTCTTCGCAGGCCACCCCCTCCAAAGGACAAGGAACTCCCCCTCTCTCGCTTAAGGGAAGAAAGAAGATGTGCATGGGGGAGACAGGATCTTCGCCACTGAGCTCACCGTGAAGGAAGAAGGGAGTGGAAAAAAGGAGGGGAAGGAGGAAAAAAAAAAAGCAAAGCAAACCGGGCGAGCCAAGCGAAAGGAGCTGCTTTTTTTTGTGAGTGTGTGTGTGCTGTGTGTGTTGGTAGCCGATGCAAGGACTGGAAAGGCTGCCTTGGAGGAGGGGAGCTGCAGCCAGAAGAGAAGGACGAAGAGCTAAAGGCTGCATTAGCATTTACTAGAGAGAGAGCGAGACAGCGGAGAGACTGGGGGGGCTGGTGATCATTTCAGCTCCTGTCATTATAGGATCATCCCCTGTCACTTCTCACCCGTCCGTCGCTTTTATTTTTTAAGGGCTGGGTGGGAGGAGAGGTGGGGGCAACTGTATTTAAAAAAAACCAAAACCTGTCCCTAGCTCCTGGTCTTTCTGAAAGACAGGCAGACAGAGAGGGAGCGGATCAAGCCTTTTGGAAGGAAAGACAGACTCCCCACTTTTTAAAATACATAGATCTATATTAGCAACCGCCTTGAGGATTTTTTTGTGTGGATTAAAATCTTTGATAAGAAGAAGGAAAAAAAGGAACAGGACGAGTTGGGCTTTTTTTTTTTAAGGATGTAACACTCTTGGATGCATTTTTATTTTTTAAAACATTTTGATTATTAATTCCAACGTCCAAATTTTAGGGTTTTAAAAACATGCTACGTTATTTTGGCTCTTTTTTAAAAAAAATCCACCCTATCTTATAGAAATTCCTTTTTTCCCAATCCCCCCCAAAAACCTTTTTTGATGGAATCTGTGGATATGTTATTACTAAGGAAATAGTTTTTTTTTTAATCTTGTGCCTTGGTTTTGCAACAAAAAAATTTTGGGGGGGGCGGGGAAGACCTTTATTATTTCTTTTTCTTTTTTATTTCAAACAGTCATCCTCGTCTGAAACCAAATGTGATCTAAAGGTTTTGCAATCGCTTTGACAGACCGGCAACGCGAGAAGATCTGTTATTCCCTTCTCTGTTTGGGGGGCATGTTTTCTGCAATTCTTCTGTTACACTGAACATTGATCCTCCCCCATGTCTTTCAGTTTATATTTTTTCCCAGTTCCTATATAAAGGTGGAAAATAAGATTTTCCGTGGATTTTTGAAGGATTTAAGAGAGACGGAGGAACCCCCCCAACCCTTTAAGAGACTGGCATATGTTACAGATTGCTTTAGTTCTTCCACCACCACCTACCCTCCTCCCCACTCCATCCCTATCATTTCAGGCTGCTTGTGTTTGCTGCCTGGACTCGGATCCCGGATTCTTCATGATTTGCGGACGACATGCTCGTTTTTTAGCCGGGAAACCTTCTTCTCGTCCCGCATGTTCAGGACCAAACGATCGGTGCTCGTCCGGCGACTCTGGAGGAGCCGTGCGCCCGGCGGCGGGGAGGAGGAGGAAGGTGAGCCCGGTGAAACAGCAGCGGACAGCCGGGCGCATGGGGCTGGAGGCGGCCGGGGCTGCTGCATGGGCAAGTCGGGGAAGATCACCAAGGCTCACCTCGGCTCGGAGGCGGAATTGAAAGCGCTGACCCACGCGGTCCTGAAGAGGCTGAAGGAGAAACAACTGGAGGTGCTCTTGCAAGCGGTGGAGTCCAAAGGGGGCGCGCGGACCTCCTGCCTCCTCTTGCCCGGCAAGGTGGACTCCAAGCTGGGTCAGCATTGGTACTCTCTCCCTTTGCTGCTGTGTAAAGTATTCAGGTGGCCAGATCTCAGGCATTGCTCGGAAGTGAAGAGGTTATGTTGCTGTGAATCTTATGGAAAAACTCACCCGGAGCTGGTCTGCTGCAATCCCCACCACCTCAGCAGGCTCTGTGAACTAGGTATGGCTGAAGGCACACACAAACTCAGAGCTGGGGTGGGTGGGTAGGGGTGGCGAACGGGGGGGGACTGTTGTATGAACAGAAAACCGGGCAGGGATAGTACAAAATTGGTTCTTAGGATGGTCAGATGATCTATGATATTGTCTGTGTTTGTGACACACATAATGGCCGAGGCTTCCCACTTTTACTCCGGCAACATTCCCACGTAATCCTATGGAAGTGTTGTCTGAGTTAGGGTTGCAGTTTTTGCCTGCCTCTCTTCTGGCACGGCGGGTTTTCTCTTTGTCAACGCCGTGTGTGCATTCATACCTGCAGTAAAACAAGGATGTGGTTCACTACTGTATTTGTGGAGAAGGCTGTGTACAAAAAGGGAAATGTGTAGGTGCCTTGAACCCGTCAAATGATATTCAGAAGATAATTTTGCCTTATGTCGGGCTGATGTTTTGCAGAGGTCCCAGGGAACAGTCATAATCTAGGTCTGCTTTGCTTTAGAAAATGAATCCCTTGATCTAATGTTTAACAGAATTTCCAGCCAGTCTGGGATTTACAAAGCAACCCAACATTGGAAGTTAGTGGTTCACAAATCCTCCACCACCCCTTAACAAGAGAACGCATAATTTATGGGTTCCAGTTTGTCCGATGCAAGCATGCTTCCCCCTCCTGCAGTCAGCAGACTTCGCTTTCCAAATAAGACCCAGAAAAGTTTCACAGCGTTTGATCCGCCAGTGGCGAAAAAGAAAAAGAAGGAAAGTTTTCAAATGCCATTTTCTTTTGTTAATGGAAATGGGTTGTTGTTGTTGTTGTTGTTGTTTTGGCACGTTTAACTCCCATGCTACCTCCCCGATGGCCTAAAAGAGCGATCCCTGACTTGCATTCCACCCCCCGCCCGTGTTTAAACATTGCAATTACTTGTAAACTTTGCTTAGTTGGTGTAGAATAGAAATCATCCAGTTCTGAGTAGTGGGTAGAGTTGTGGGAGGGGGGGGAGAGGTAAACGGCAGCACTTGATTTTTTTTTCTTGCCATTTCTTTTTTCCCTTTTCTGTGAAATGTTAAATGTGTGTGCAGCTAGCAAGGATTATCTGGCAGTCTGGATCAGTTGGTGATTTCCAGTGCTGGAGTGTTTTAGCCGAGCCAAGGAGGCCCTGATCAGACAGCCAGAGTAGCAGATAGCAGGGAGACTGGCGCCAGGCGGCCCCTTTTGTTTATCTGACAGCTAAATATCAAGGCAATCACCGCCTAGCTGCCCTGCCTCCAACCCCCAGAGCTAAGACAAACAGTTTTGCTAAAAGAATGCCACTGTTATCATAAGTTCCTATCTTTTTTTCTCATGGCTCTGCCTTTATTTTCTCTGTGCTTTTCTAATTCCAGAGTCTCCCCCTCCACCCTACTCCAGATATCCAATGGATTTTCTCAAACCAACTGGTAAGTAGACCTTTAAAAAGTAGGCTACTGTCTTCAGATAAAAAGGGAAAACATGCCTTTCTCAGGGGGGATGTCTCCTTCCTTTGTTATACTTCTTACGCATTTCACTTTTTGGCTATTTCTGTGGGATTTTTGCCCCTTTGCCACCCCAATGATTTAGTATATGATTTGGCTAAGAAAACCTCTAGTTTTAAAACCCAGGAACTATAGTAGGTAGTCCATTTACATTGTTGCCTTTTCTAGATGTACTTGTACCAAGTAACTTGAAAACTCAGGATGGGTATGCACATAAAAATAATGTGAGTCAGTAGGTTTTGCCAACGTTGCTTCATGAATATCTGCAAGAAGTATAAAGTCTTCCTAATTCAGTTTACAATTGTAAGTAGTAAATGCAAAATGCATGACTTGTCAACTCACTGTATTTGAATTCTAATGGAATTAGATTGGTACAAGGTACAGCAAAGGATTCTAGGAACATTATTTTTTGTTGAATAAGGATACAAATAAGTGTTGGCAAATGTGGTTGTATAAATCTTCCGTTTACAAAAAAAAATCATCTGTAATTAAGCATTACCAAATTAAAAAAATATGGAGGGGAGCTAAAAGTTTCTAATATAGCTCTTCATGCCTGTTGCTTGTAATTGAATGGCATCGTGCCAGGGCAGAAGCCCATTTGAGGCTGGCACCAAGCTCTGTTGCGGTTGTCTGCATAAACTTCTGGTTGGCAGCAAGCTCGCCCTGTGTTAGATAAATAGGACTGGCACTGTGGAAGGAGACAGGTTTAGTGAAAATCGGAAATGGGGATGAAATCAGGGAGGCGCAGAGCTCCACCAAGCCCCTTCATATCTTTCTGAAGATGAATGAATGGATCTAAAGTATTGATTATAACACAATTGTCTTTCTGGTTGTGTCCTAAAGTCATGCAGCACCATATGTAAACTTAGTACTTTACTTTTAAAAAGGGAGTTTAAAATAGCTTTGTTCCTCGGTTTGTTCCAGTTTCAGGGCTGTTTTTCTAAAATAGCTGATTTTCTAAAATTATTGCTATTCAGTTTGTTGGAGTTGGCTAGTTTCTGAAGTTCAAGAAATGTTAAAACCCCGTGGGGCTTGCCTGATAGGTTTCTCTTTTCATTTTAAAGTGTCTTTCAGTAAATGCTATTAAAAGTGGGGAAGGGGGTGTGCTGTAAGTTATGAGGCTATTTTAGAAACCTGGGAAATGAGCATTGGGCCCTATCCTGATGATGAGAGTCTCTTGCGATGTCAACTCCCATTGAAGTTAAGGTGCTTAGCCCCTCATAGGAAAGTATTTAGTGTCTTCAGTACTGGACCCTTTTAACCAGGTTGATTTTCTCCACTGTAAACTCTGATTAATATAAGGAGTTTTCTCTTTCCATGTGGAAACAGACACAGCTGCTTAATAAATGAATGGGTCACAAAGCATATAATATTTTGCCTGAGCATTAAAGAACACTAGACAAATGTTCACTAATTAATGAGGAGATATCCGTGTTATTATATCCTACTTCCCTTAGGAGTGCTACTTACATTTACTAGTTGCTTTGATTTTAAAGGATTGTTTCTTTACACAGGCAAAGAGTCTACTGAGTAGTAAAGAATTTTGTTATTAGAGAAAGAGAGTTATCATTTAGACAAATTCTCGAATGGATAACAGAATGGTTCCATAGAAACTTCACGTGCTTAGATTTGCATATGTAATTTCCCCCTAATAATGACTTTTTGCATAGGGCATAAACTAATTTGTAAAGTGTTCAGGAGGATAACAGCCAACATAAAGCTATAGGAAAGAAGGGTTAATGATTGCCTTCAGTTTCCTGGAAAGATGTTAGGATAAATCTATTAGCAGGGTTTAAACATCCAATCTACCTTTGCCAGGACCTCATTTTCAGTTAGTGGAGTGATATATTTATTCATTAGCAAGTGTTGACATAAGGTAGCAAAATGTGTGTAAACAGAAAAGCCGCAGAACATGAATGTGCCATTTCGAAAGGAAAAGTTCTTCGTATCAGCCAATAGGAAGTGATTAATGCTGCCAATCGGAAACTCAAAAACAACTGGTTACTCACCAAAAAGTTTAATTAAAAAAAAATACCGTTTGGCAGTTGAACTCTGAATAATGTAATACATGGAACAATGACAGAGACAAACAGAAGTCTATAAGTCTGTCATTGCAGGTGGTTGTTACAACTGCTGGCTTCTTCTTTTTTTTTTTCTTTTGCTTCCTCTTTCATCAAAGCTGTTGTGGAGAGAATGAGATACACAGACATTAAGTTCTCTATCATTGCTATCTCCTGTGGCTGACAGAACCTTGCTGGGATCCTAGGTGACCCAAATTCATATATTTCCAAGCATTGTGTCAAATATTATTTGCCTTAGGTTGGTTAAGTGAGAGAGAGGAATATTAGCTTACAAGGGAAAGGTGTTCAAATCTGAACCATTTTAAGCAAGAAGGAGTCCTGTCCTCACTATTCACCAGCGTTCCACCTTTGGGAAAACAGGAAGAGAATGTAGACTGTCCAGGCATGGCAAAGCCATTGTACTAGCACAGTTAAAACAGTTAGCAAAGATCTTTCCATTTACACCTTGACAGTCTAGAAGAACTGTCTGTAGCTACTGCTAAGGAGAAGTATATCTAACAGTAACCTGGACATCTCACATTGGTATGAAGCATGGTAGTACCAATAATAATACTTACGCACTTCTGGTTAGGTCCTGCAATCCTTCACAGAAACACACAATTCCAACGCAAGTGAGGGGGACTAATGCATGAGGAGGGGTTGCAGGATCAGGCCTTTACCTAGCACCACTCATGCAAGTATCTAAAAGCTTTTATAAATGTGAATGAAGCCTCCTAGCCCCCCCTGTAAGTTAGCTTATTAATACAATAACTGTACAGATGGGACAGCTAAGAGTCAGGAACGTTAGGTGACTTGGCTAAGGCCACACAGCATGTCTCTAACAAATCTGGGAACAGACTCCAAGATGATGGGCAGATTTGCTGTGACTTAAATGATTTTCACTAATTCTCTTACTAAGAACCTGAATCTGCAGTCCTTCATTCTTTCCCATTAGCTTCAGTGGCAGTGTTATCTGCGTTAGGACTGCAGATTCAGACCCCAAATGAAAATGCTCACTGGGGATGGGAGGTTGTCGGAGATGTCCTTGACTGGTCTGATATGCAGAATTTTAGAGGCAACATGATGGGGGTTCAGAACAATGAACTCTAAAATAGAGAGGCTGACATACTGTTTATCTAAAAAACCCCGGTTGCTGTTCCATGCTGATGAGCTTTAGCAGAGTGAAACGCGTGTCCATGGTTTGCATCCATGAGCGGGGTAACCATGACTCTTTCCATCACCTGGGCTTGGATACTGGTGGCCCCGCGTGCATGTTACTACTCGGAATATTCTCCTGGCTCACAGCTAATTTATAATAGTTCTAGTGTTTGAGTTTGTGAAGGTGGCTGGTCCCGCGATTTAACAGTGTGTATTAAAAGGTCCTATCCCTTTTCTCTTATTTCCTTTCACCCCTCCCCCCAAAGGCTGTGTATCAGGCTGACCTGTCTTTACTGGCCGAGGCTGGCTGGATATGCTCCCTCTGGAGGCAGTCACAGAGGTCTCCCAAGAGCAATATGAGGTGCTTTCCCCCCACTTCCCCTAGGGGGTGAGCATGACCGAATTCTGGGGTAACTTAGCTCTGGCTCTAACTCTCCACTCTAACTCTCCATATACTCTGGGCACTAGACTGGATGGTCGTCCACTGACTTCTGTTTGCAGGGGAGAGTTAGGATCTCTCGTGTGTCTGTCACCTGCATATTAGGATGCAAAAAACTCCTCAGGCTAAGCATCTAAGGCCCGTGGATTGCTCGGGGTCCTCAAGTGTTGTTGATTTTAATGGGAATTGAAGGTGTAGCAGGAAATACGGCACACCTCTCAGGGCCAGGCCCCTAGTCATTAAACTGTTGATGTGAAGAACATGATTTCATGCCATTTGGAAATGGCGCACTTTACAAAGAAATCTGGGGTGAAAGGGCTAACCTGGAGCAACTTCAAATGAACCACTCAGTCTTGGAGCATTTCACTGGTATAAAAAAAAGATTAAAAAATGACAGTGCTCCATACCAGCCAGAACGAGGGCTGGATGATGCTAAGCAGGCAAGGCTCAACTGGCCAAGGGTTAACGCAAGGAACAGGAAAGGATCATCATGCCTTTTGCATAGGCTATGCCTGCTGGGGTGTGAGAGAGAACATGAGCAGTGCATTCAGTAATGGCTTATTCTAAAGTGAGGCCCGTGTCCAAGCGCAGTTCTCGGGTTTAAATGAATTGATAAAAGGAATTTTCTGTTGGATATTAGGGAGTGGGATCAATTGAAGTGTGGAGAGGGACCAAATCAGTGGGCAAAGCTATGCTCAGGCAAAGGTCCAGGCTTTAGGGAGGGTCTGAATAAGGCCTGATTTCTAATGTGCAACCTTGAGGATGAAACAGAGAGCTGTTCTTTGTGTTTGAATTCAAACTGTAGGGTTACTTTATCTCCACAGCAATTTTATGGTTAGGATTGTGTGTTTTTAAGTGAGAAGAAGTGGACATATTGCTATGCCTGTCTCCTGCAGTCTTGAGGAATAGATCCCAAGTTACTTAAAAATGTCTGTCTGCATTGCTAGCAGAAGAATCTTGTTATATTTGACCCTAGAGCAAGATGACATGTAAGGGGCAAATTATGGCTTTTTGATGTATGGCACAGGTCTCACATTGACTCCCAAGTGGGAGTGCGACATGTTCATGTCAAGGCAGATTAGAGCTGGATATGAAGCACTAGTCTGTAGTCCAAACCAGTACCATATTTTTGACACCTGCATTCAGAAAGGTGTGAGTGTGTTGCGGGAAAGCATCAGCAAAAACATTTGAGAGCGATCTCAAGGGAAAGATACAAGGGAGTCATCTGTTCAGATAGACAAGTGGACAGGGTTAAAAAAAAGCATATTTCCTTAGAATATAGAAAACAAACTAAAAAACATTTTAGAAAGTGTATAGTATACAGTATTTCACAAGTAAGTCCACTTCCTGTCTCCCCTATTGTTTTCAGTTTGATTAAGTGTATCCTGTTAAACTGTATATTCCTGTTATGGATTATACTTTACTCTGATAACATGAGATTATACACACACACGTTTTTTCCTTAGGTTTTCAGTAGTGAGTGCTTGGGGGAAAAAATGTGGGGGACAAAAAACTCTAGCTATTGGTGCTGTGCCCTTGCTAAAGAGATGGTTTGTAGCTGAAATGATGCAATTTAGGGTGCCTTAATTTTGCGTAACCAATTGTGGCAACTTGCCAGTAGCCCGAGGGTTGCATGTACATTTAGATTTTTTTTTTGATGGCAAATGCCTTCAACCACAGTATTTCCTTATGTTTGCATCTTCCCTGATAGATGATTAAAAATTGCTTGTGTGGGTTCATCTGCAGTAAAGAGGTTGATCAACATTGACCTCATGCTGCAATTATAGAAAGGGGGCAGTTGCAGTTTTTGGACACCAGGGGGCCAAACTTTGCCCCTCCCTGAATTGAACACTTCTAAATGTCAAGAGTAATAGCTAATGAGACAGATTCCTTTCATCATAAAAGCCCCTTCAGTGGTGCATGGAGAGAATTTGGTCCAGGCAGGCCTTTTTGGTGCATACACAACACGCTGGGGAAGCCAAGTAATTTACAGTCAGTGGAAGGGAAAATGTATATGAGTTCTTAATGAAACTAGCAAAAAAGACAGGAACAAAGGAGTAAAGTTGACATTGGACTATTTGTGATAAAAGTGGAGTATTATTTTTCTCTCTCTTTCAAATTTAATATTTCCACCTGGCCAACCTGGTTGTGTACTAGATTCAAGGTACAAAGCAGCCGTTTAAACGCTTTCGGAGCTCTGTTAGTTACTTAAAAGATGGGAGACCTGATTTCATTAACCCGTGACTTGGACAAAAAGATTCCAGCCCTTATATAATTCTTGCGTGCATTGAGTAATGATTAAGTGGTAATGCACAGTTTAGACAAGGGTGATGAGTTTAGGGTGGATATATTATGATGAATGGCAGTGTCTGTGCAGACAATTAGTAATAGCTTCCTGTTGAACACTTTGGAATGTGTGTTCTGTTCTTGACATTGTTTACAGCGTGCTAAGAAACTAACATATATTAATTTCTTATTTTTTCCCTCTGCTGCAGCAGATTGTCCCAGACTCTGTGCCTTCCTCCACTGAAACAGGGGGAACTAATTGTCTAGCCCCTGGGGGGCTTTCAGGTAAGACATTATCTGTGGTATGCTTTACTCACTCAGGACTCTTTACTCCTAGTGCACCTAAAGCGCCTGTTGGTTTTAGGCTGTGAATGAAGTAAGAATGATGCTGGGACAGTATAAGATTACAGGTCACTTAGGCTAGAATTTTCAAAGGGGGAATTAGGTTCCCAGTGCCCACTCACTTTCAGCAGGAATTGGGCACCTGGGGATGAATGGATGGACCTTATGGGGAAAAATTGAATTTTGGGAGTGGTTCACTACAGGGTATAGATTATTTATAGAGAAGTGAGCAGGTGAATTACAACTGTATCCTTGTAGAAAAATTCAAGGTCAGTCCCAGCCCTTGCCTTATTTACACAGGTGGTACCTTTGGTTTCAGTGGGGCTAATTGTATAGATAAGGAGAGCAGTATTTGACTGGTGGTCTTGAATCTTTGTAGGTTTTTGTTTGGTTAGCGTAACTGGTTTCTGCACAGCCTTCTGGCTACAGTACATTCAATAATGGCATCAGTGGAGTATATTATACCCTTACATGAGGACAACTGATCTAGTAGGTGTTTTCCATTCCAGCCATTGTGTTCCTGTATGATACTAGGCAGTGGTTGCCTGCGACCTGTCTATAATAGGTTAGCAATCAGCTGAGAAATATTAGGGCAACTTTCAGAGTAGCAGCCGTGTTAGTCTGTATCCACAAAAAGAACTGGAGTACTTGTGGCACCTTAGAGACTAACAAATTTATTAGAGCATAAGCTTTCGTGGACTACAGCCCACTTCTTTGGATGCATCCG